TTAGCGCACTATACCTATCTTTTGTGGGATACAGACGACCCAGGAGTATAATATTTTCATATTAAGAACTTATCAGTTGTATGAAAAAATTTGAAAAAAGGCGGAGAATGAAGAAGCGGCTCACGACAAAAAGATTCAGAATGCATTTTTCATAGCATGTGACGTGACGTTCGAGTGAAGCTCTTTTCGTAACTATACGGTGTTCTTAGTCAGCACAGTGTTTCACTATTACATCAAAACACTTTACTCTTATATCGCTAAGAATTATGGTTCCAAGATGGGTGCATAATAAGAGCAAGACAAAGAAAACAAAGAATTACCTTGCGCGGTCATGAAGTCAGCAAAGTTCCAAATCATTTCTCCGACGAAGAATTCCTTCCTCAGTTTATCAAATACGGGGAAATATTGCTGCAATGTTTCCACCTTTAAAAAAAGCAAATGCAAATGCAATCATATGGTAACGGTCTGACAAACTTTCGCGAATGTTACTCGACAGATTGTTAAGTAATGCTCCGAGTAAGAACTAGGGAAGCAAACGGCAAAGGAATGCAAGAAGGTGCTAATTGCGCATTGTATAATCCATCCATCCCATTGGTTAAAACATGAAAATCTGCTATAATTTCACAAGTTAGCAAATTTTGTAATATTTCATTTAATGTCTGTTTTCGCTTTCATGAAAGCTTTCTTTAGCTTCAATACTAAGGCAATTCTATGTGGTGAACATTGCAAATTAGAAGCATCTTTTGGCTATTGTTTTGAGTGCTTATGATTGGATAAGAGCTTTTAATACAAAAGAAACTTTGTTTCAAAATAGAGTTTATCCACATTTTATTTCAGAAATTGTTACTTAATTAATTATTAAACAATGCCTTATGTATATTTATATCATATAAAACATTTTACAGTCAAAAGACATGAAACGCGCCCCCCCCTCCCCCCGCGAATAGTTCGTTATTCAATGCATTATTTATTATTATGTACAAGGATGAAAATATATAAATAACATTATGAAATTAAAAACGTTTTCGACTATGAGTCATCTTCAGTGCATTATTGGATTTTTCATTTTATTTTTCGCTTTCAAACTTTAGTTGATTAATGCAAAATTAAATTCAAATCTCGAACTCTGATAATGACAGAAAACAACACAGCATTTCCAGCTTTTTGAGACCGTCATTCCTTTCTCACGAGAAGGAACAGATCCAACCAAATTAACAAACAGCGTATTGCAATGCAATGACTTGTGGAAATTACAAAAGACCAGCATGTTTACAAGCGAAATACGAAGAAGGCTTTATGAAAATTCGATCAATAATCCAATCAAATTTCGAAGTTTAAATTCAAATTTGATTTCAATAATGTAAGGTCTTTGCGCAAGAGATTCTGTTGTCAAATAAAGCAGCGATTTTGCGCTATGAATTCGAAACTGGAGTATTGAATAATGGTGTTCTGAGGGGGCGCGCTTCATGTCTTTTGACTGTAAAAACTTTATCGATAGTCATACCTGGTATTCCTCAGTGAACATCGCAGGAGGGTCCTATGAAAGTAATGAAGAACGAGCTGGTTATATCATTATTATTAGCTAATAAATAAACTATGAAATAGCAATTGTATGGATTCGAAACTGATTATACACACATCTAAAATTGCCAGTCTAAATTTCGATCTTAATTTGTATAAACATTCTGATTCATTCATCATGTGTTTGTGCCTTGTTTATAGTACAATTAAGATGCTGTTTCACTGTGCACTTCTTTTAACAAATCATCTCACAACAACGGGGCGGCACAAATTACTTAAGAATAACTCCACAGTGTAACAGGGACTGTCCCGCCTACAACCGTTTTTTTCCTTGTAGAGTTCAACGAAGTAGAAATCGAGTCTAATTTTCGCATCGCAGTAAAGTGCAATGCTATTGCACTGTGTATCAGACCTCCAGTAACTCTTCTTGCAATTTTGAGTTATGTACAATTTGAGGGTATTCGCAATTTCTCAGTTATAATTTCCGCTATCTAGCTAACTTATTTAGGTAAAAAATAATGCAAGTTTCTTGGGAAACTTTCCAGTGTAAGATGATATAATTTTTACAGTAAATCAGTTTTCGCAAAGGCATAGCGAGACACACGCGACTTACTGCATGCATCCCCGCAACGGTGTTAGCACCATACTCTGACTGTAAAACCGGTTTTTGGAACTTGTTAAACCAGTCTCTGAGCCCTTTTTCGAGTTGTGCACTGATGAGTTCTGTATGGCCGTAGTCCTGGTACCATGCGTAGTAATGATTACATAAGATGACGTCACTAAACTGACTCTAGAAACGAAACGATACACTCCTAAAGGTTCGGTAATACGAGCAGCAACATTTTATTGTCAACCCGCAACCTCGTTCCCAGGCCCTTAAACCTTCACTTAGGATCAGGCAAACGAGGTTGCTTGTCCCGCAACATTGCTGCAAAACAAGTTGAAAAGCGATGCTGCGCGTTTTGTTACCATCGAACCAACTTGTCTCCTAGTAAATAACTTATTCGTTGCAAGTTGATTGAATTCTGATCTGATTGGCTAATACAGTCAGGTGATTGTCGCTCAACGTCATTTNCGTTCCTTGTCGTAACTGTCTTTCAGTTATTTGATGCACATGCACAGCACCCCCCTGGCACGGCCCTGATCATTATCAGACACAGTTCAACATGATTTTGTTCACTTAGAGAAGTGTACTTAGTGCAGAAGGGCCACATAATTATGGTTTGTCTAACTACTCTTTTTGATAAAAATAGCAATAATCTCCCTCATAACCGCTTTCAAAATCTCAATACTGTATCTTTGTTTTTTGGCAGACTTATTAATGTCAGACCACAGAAATCCCAACAAAAGGCTGCTTTTTCCTGGTTTACTACATGTTTAAAACTTACATCTGAATCTTCATGCTTGCCAAAACCTTTGAAGTAAAATGGCTTGTCATTTATCAGAAACTTTGTTTTCTCTACTTTTACTGTCCTGATTCCAACTGGTATGCGGTAAATATCAAGCAGATCTCTAGATGGTACACTAGTGGTTACCTAGAATAAACAACAAACTTCCTAACGACAATATAACAGGCAACATAAGATTTGAGAAAACATCAGCAACACAAAATAATATATTTTTTAATTTTTACCATTCCCTGATAAATAATCAAGTCATCTATGAACAAATACAATATAATAAATGCAAAGAATAAATGCAGGAACAAGTTATTATTCAATAAATAGAACAGTAATTAAAGCACTTACTTTCAGTGTGTACAGGTAAGCAGTGATGTTACTCATACCAACAGGCCACCAAAGTATTGGGTTCTTAATTGTAAACTGWCCCTTAAACATGTCAGCACCACTATMTGTAGCCACCACATAGTTATCCTTATCTAACAAATCATATTTCATTGTAATTTCATTCTCAGGTACTGTATCAGGGGCTCCAACTTGACAGTCAAATTGAACAACAGCTAACTGAGAGGTTTGGTCATAGGATGTGGTGATGGTTATATCTGAGAGATATGCTATGGATGTGGTGTACAGCTTGACAGGTCGGTGGATGCCTGCATAGTTGAAGAAGTCAAATTTGTATTTTTGAACAAAGTAACCTGGAGGATACCTGAAACAGACAATTATGATAATGATCATCACTATGTCTGCCATAAACTATGCATTCAGATCACATAAAACTACTTCAGGTCATTTGGGGTTATTTTATATTGCTCACTTATTAAATATTGATTATTATTTTTGACATGCTAAAGCCATCAAATGTTATCACAAGGTGGCATGCATTGCTAGGTTATTTAGCGCAGTTTTGCTACCCTGCAATGGAGGAGTCATCATTATGGTATTCTACATACCCATCACCTCCTGTCAGGTATTCTATGGTCCCTGGCGGTAGTGTTGTTGGTGTAAGGGTATTATTCACAGCTGCTGTTATCCAGTTGACTTTGCCGTTGTAAGCAAGATCTGTTGTGATTTCAACTTCAAATGGGAGGTGTCCACCTTCATGTTCTACAACCTTTTTCCCATTCACCCACTGCAATACGAATGAAGCCGAATTAAATCATGGTAAATATTCCATGTGAACCATCTAAGGACTCATCCACATAATGACAGAATTATACTAAATTTGCAATTATTCTGAGTATATTCTATTTTGTGTCCGTGCAGGAGCCCATTACTAGCTAGTAATGGGCTCCTGGTCCGTGACATATAATATATACGATTCGGGGCATTTTCAGGCATATCCACTGGAAAGAAAGTGTGGAAAGGATGTGTAATATGCAAATCAAAAAATTCAAATAATTTCTGCACATGGATAGGGCGAGCCATTACTACAATGAGAACAAAACCTCCTTTTTTCACATTTTTTAATTTTTTCTCATATACCAGTAATAGTCATTATTTGTCATAAATTGTGCACCACTTTGAAACCTGAAAATCATTGGGAAATATAATTTGCACCTTAAAAACTGAAAGCTTCTTGAAGGAAACCCACATCAAATGCTATGTAAACCATGAATTTGATTGATTTCTGTTTTACAGTACCACCACTGCTTAAAAACCTTACTATCCCATTCACGGAAAGTCAAAATGAGTTCTTAAATTTAAACCTACTTACCACTATGCTATAGTAATGTGCACTTTCAAACCTCAACACAACTCTTGTCTTGTTCAAGTCATTCCAAGAATGAGGGACAAAGAATTCTCTGTCATACCACACCCATCCTATAAAGTCCCTAAGGGTCCTATCTTGGGTAACGTCATTATAACTTGATGGCACAGGCATTGGAATGGTTGCACCAGACTGAAACACAGAACACAACTTGTTAAAAAAATGTAATAAGAATGGCCGCCACACCATTTTTTTTTTCAGCCCACACCATTTTTTTTTTCAGCTGGAATAAAATGACACTTCCCATACTCATTAATTATTCATGAGGTATCTAGCCAATCCCTGATTGTAATTTGTACCACGTGCAGTAACTGGATACCAGAGGAAGTACTCCTACCCTTGTATTCTATCTTATTTCCAGTTACTTCCACCTTGTTTCTAGTTACTTCTATCTTATTTCCAGTTACTCTTACCTTGATTCTAGTTCTAGCTTTTTCTAACTACTACTAGCTAATGATAATCAAAGTATTAGAAATAATCAACTTAATATAGAATTAATTTAGTGAAAAAAGGTCTTTGATAAATAACTCCCTCACGAAACGATCCCGAAGAACCGTCCAATCTATATGCGCCGTCTTATACCATTACACCACCGAGTTTCTGATGCGATTCCTTGGAAGATAACATACTTATAAAACTTATGAATTAGGCTCATTAGGACTGCCATGAAAGGCAAACAAAGACAATTTGAAAAGCTTTTGTTTCAGAAAGCCGTTCGGGAATTGGAAAACAACAAACGGTGCTTCTTTATTCAAAATTATGAAAACTGAAAACCTTGGTGGAGATGTACGATGGCCGAGAAGGGCCTTCTGATTTCCGACTTCCGATTTGTTTTCTATCGAAATCAAATATGGTTGTTCAGCAAAAGGTGTAAAATTCTCGTAAATGCAAACTCCACTTCGTTCGCCTCCATCGACTACATAATTTTTTCCTTTCTTGTCCGCTCTTGAAGTAGATCAACAAGGACCAATCAGGTGCCGTGTAATATGCGCGCGCGTTGTGATTGGTTGTCTAAAAATAGATTATCGGGACATCTGATGGTGGCGATATTATTGGGGAGATGGACACTTCTGGTTATGTACTTCTGCTACATACCTATTCATCTCGCCACAGGCCATTGCATCGTGTAGGGCTGAGCAATTTCAATTTCTGTGTACCGCTCGTTACGTTTTACGATAGACATTACAAGGGACTCCTACCTTCTCCTTTGCTCCTTCGTTCTTTCTTTTCCCCCGAGATTAATGCCCGTGTGCACTCATTTTCTTTCTCCACTCTATTCGTAATCACATCTTTATGCATTATTTGTACATTTCTTTACCTATTTTTAATCCGTTCAACTTACTGAACTGTTCCTCCTCTCTACTTTTATCGTTTCCTATCTCCTTCATCTTATTTATCGTATTTACTTACTTATTTATAAATTGAATAAATTGAAGAAAAAGGCACGCAACTTGCAACTATTATTCCTACTCTCTATTTGAACGTTTCGGCACTTCGGCCTTCTTCAGCAAACTGAGTGTTTTGCACGCGCCATTGCTACAAAAACCAAAAAACTTACTTATTTATATATATATTTTCTTATTTATTTCTTAATTTATTTATCTATTTGTTCGTTCATTTATCTTGTTCACTTACTTAGTTACTTACTCGTTTGTCTATTTATATTTATTTATTTATTTAATTATGTTATCAAGTTATGAACTATATTTATTTATTTCATTTACCTATTGATTATCAGTACTGCCCAAGGCCGGAGTAATAAGTGGGTATGGGGGTGTCCTCCCCCAGAAAATTTTGATACAATAATAACTCTAAGAAATGCGATTATCAGCATTTTGTGGGGCATCAAGAACATATAAAAGGCATCAAATTTATGTGAAATGTTAATGTTCGTGGATATTTCTTTTTCCACCTCCTGCTACGAAGAAGGGGTTGGAAGAGTTGAATTTTGTTTGGTTCTAAAAAAAGTCGGTACTACCAATGCTCGATATCATTTTGGSCCATATTGTTGTTGCACGAGTATCTTTTTTAGGTTGATTTTTGAGCTTTAAAACACCCCCTACAAAAATAAAATGGACCGTCCCTTATGTAGGTTTCTTACTCATTTATTTGTTTATCTACAAAAGTATTAAAAAGCACGAAATCGGAAATCAGAAGTCCGAAGTCCGAAATCAGAAGTCCGAAATCGGAAATCAGAAGTCGGAAATCAGAAGTCCGAAATCGGAAGTCGGAAATCAGAAGGCCCTTCTCGGCCATCTAGAGATGCAATAAATCAATATATTTCTGTTATATGCATTTCCTTCGCTTTTTTCCCCTCCCGAATAATTAATGAGTATGAGAAGTCTCGGACGCCTCGGACTGGAACTAATTGCGCGGACTTGAAACCCCGTCCAGTCCTCATTGTCGGACTTTAAACATTACATCAGGTGATCAAGGTATGTTGTTTTTCATAAGCTGTATAAGATTCCAGCAAGCTCAATTGAGAATATGAGCTTATATAGATAACTTATGCATTTTAATCGTTTGTTGACAATTTAGTGACATGCAGAATTTCTTATCATATTCTAACCTATCTTCATATTCTATTGCTGTTTGCATAAATACTCATCAAGGGACATCAAAACTTCAAAACATTGTTAAGTCACAAAACAATTTGAAAACATTTCAAATACCTTTGAAAGTGGCTTTGAGAACCATGACTCCCGAAAGCCCGCTTTTCGGTCATTTGACATGTCAGCGCGGAAATTCCACAAACCACATAAATCTTTGACTTCGCGAGTTTCCGAGTCTTTCACTCGCAACATCCCTTGTACTTCAGCAGATGCCTCTAGAGTCAAATACAAGCAGCTTAACACTACTAATAACTCTATTTTAGTCCATGATTTATGCATTTTTCCAGCTTTAGTGTGCCACAAGCCACTTCTTTTATTTCTCCAGTTTTATTTTTCGTTCGATCGCTTTTATTATATATCAAGTGTCAAAGTTCACTTTTCCTAGTATCTTATTGGTCGAGAGTGTACCACGTGAAAGTCACAAAATTTTACTGTTTCCCGGCAACTGTCCACCAGCGGTCAATAATATGTTGTGGACCGTCAATAAGTACAAAGTCGCAGAAAAACAATCTTCAGTGTCGTGAAAATGTCACATTTACGGACTTTGCATTCCAAAATTGTTATGAAACATTTAATTTCGACTACAAATAGTTAAATTAGTATTCATTGTGTTATTACATTGATTGATTTTAGTGACTATTTGCCATTGCCATTTTTCAGTTTATTTTATCAAAATCTTTAATAAAAAAACTTCATTTATTTACTTTTTTTGCTCTCTTTGACACTTGATAGAGTTCTATGATAATAAAGCACTTATTTACTGGAAACCTCGGGAAACAGTATGTTTTTTCCCCAGGAGTCACCCCTGGGTGCTTTGCTTCTCAGCCTTTTTGGACTCTTTGAGCTAAACTCTTTTTCGTAGCTGCTTCTTCTTGTTAAATGATTCAGAAATGACTAAATAGTGTGTACAAGGCTCAGTTTCCTTGACAGACACACGCTTGAGAGCAAGTATAAGGTATTGGATCCAGGATTGTCTCCAACCTTCGACGCATTGCAGATATAAAGGAACTTTGAATGTAGGTTGTCTACACTGTACTTGTCTTAAGACATACTTCGCGAACCCTTTGAACGACACAGTACACGTCATACTTACCCCCTATTTTAGATACTCTGATGCGTCGGCGCCTCCAATTTGCCGCCGGATACTGATTAGGAGCAGAGAGTGAAGTCATCTAAACTCTTCTGTTATGGAGCCTAATTATCCCTTAACAGCTCAAGCGGCATATTCGCAAATCAATCAGTGCGAGTGTCTACGGACTTGGGTATCGAAGTTGGTGAACTAAATCAGTCAAAGAGAGACCGAGCTGTGGCCGCATACTAATGTGATTATTGTTTTATTATAGTCAGATTGATAGGATAGAGCGACAGATAACCTACTAGGCTGGATAGCAATTATATTTTCAATGAGTGTGGCCGGGTGTTCCGATATTCGAATTATCCAATGGAAATGTTAGTATAAGTTAATTTTAAGTTTGTCTACAAGTCTACAGTAAACATTTTGTTAGTCCTAGCTACATTGCACGCATTTAACCGTCTCCAAATGCCATTTTCCCTGGTTTCTCAGCAACTTGCTTACGCAATGAAAGCACTTGTTCTGCAACCAGTGGATAAAAGTCAACATGAGGTATTTGATAATCAAATAAGTTTATCTCTGGGATGAAATAATGCGGACAATTATGTCTGGCCAAGCAAACCACCAAGTCATCCAAGATACCTAAAATTGATTTAAGTAGATGCTCTTTGTTGAGCCAGTGATCATACTCGATCCTTTCTAATGCATACAGAAATAGAGTTTTGAGAGTGTATGATGTAATCAGCTGGGGATGAGCTTGTAATTGTAAATGACATGAAAACAATGATTTCAAAATACGCCAATGGATTATACCATAATGATACACTAATGGTAAATTGGTCAAGCTCACTTCTGCTTGAGAAAATGAAACACGCCAATCCAGGGGGTCCTCACTCAAGGAGTTAACTTTGGGGACAATATGGAAACCCTCGTCAACAATACCTTGAATGTCTTCTTTGCACGGCCATGTTCGTGATCTAGTGATCCATTTTGAAGCCATACTGGCCCAAAAATTGCATTTTACAGCAAAGACAATGTCATAGAAACGAATTCCTGCTAAAACATTGCTAAGGTGAGCAATTTGAAAGGCAACACTTCCTTGCTTAACAATGAAAGGGCCATCTTTCTCCATCTGGTTAAAAATCCTTTCAAGTTTTTTCTTGACTAGGGTTGGAGAGACAAATACTTGATCACAATGGTCTGATGTAAAACAGCAATCCATCCAAGCATTTGTTATATCACCATTCAAAAGCTGCAACTTCACGAACCCTGGAGTGTCTGTTTTTCTCAGAACGCAGTCCGTGTCAGATAATATTAGCGATTTGGGTGTAATCATGTAATCATAATCATTTACGTTCATCAACAGTGTCTGCATTTTTCTTTTTGCTTTACTATCTTTCACATATTCTTCAAAATGTTTTTCACCAATACCGGAATAATTGTCTCCAAATATCTTATGCTGACATTCAGCTTCACTAGCTTCGTAAATTACACTAAAGAAACTCGATTCTGCGTAGCTACCACTCGCCAACCAAACCAGTCCCTCTGTGAAGTTGGTCTCTCCTACCGTTTCTGCAGCCTTAATAAAGGCAGCTTTGACATCGTCGCGATTATCTTCATTTGGTGCCCACATACTCTCAATGTCATCGTACTCGTCTCTCAGTTGAAGAGAAGAACCAAGTAAGTCGATACCAGAACAGAAATCCACGTGAAAGCAGTCATCTGGTTCAATATTCTCATAAATGTTCGGTATATCGTCTTCGTTCTCGCTTGAATTTTCTTCTTGATTTGTGTCTCTTACGGATGTATTTTCTTCCTTTGATACATCTTGGGCTGTAGCCATTTTATCAGTCAAAATACCTGACATTTGTAAAGTTTACACTAGCCTACGCCGTAGCAACTTGTTCTACGTAGCCAGGCGTTCCTAGCTGCTCCGAGAGAGCTTGGGTCTGAGTAATCCCAGAAACCCTTCTGGGAAGGAGTCCGTTTCTCGGCCGGCCCCTCTCTGGTAGAAAGGAACTCCTGGCTACGCAGACTATGCATATGCTGGATGCAAGATGGCAATAGTTTACCGTAGACGACTGGCATGGTATCTAGTATCCATGGATGGGTTAGTACTGACATCAAATCACTGCTTTCTTCCTTCACGTTCTGTCACGGTGAATATCTTCCCAAGAGGGCTTGACGTATATACATGGTATATAACTCATACAGGACGCCGCACTGCTTACATTATCATAATCATGCCAGTGGCGGATCCAGGGGGGTTCCATGGGTTCCTAGGAACCCCCCTCGAGCATAAAAAAATAAAAAATAAATGATAAATGAAATCAAATGAAAACGCATCCGAGAAGGATGAAGCTGGCTTTATATTACACTTTTACCACATGGCTGCAATGTACCCACACAGAACTTTAAAGCGTTTTGAGACTTGAGAGATGCGCTACCTATAACTACATTCACGTTACATTTGCTATAGTTTGAGAGGCACAGTAAAAATGTTCGTTTTAGGAAAATGCGAAAACAAAGTGGAACCCCCTTTGAAAAATCCTGGATCCGCCACTGCATGCCACCTGTCGTTTCCGTTTGTCAAGTTTGAAAGTACCCTAGTCCCACAATGCATTGTTACTATTTGCTCGATTCTAAAATATCCATTTGTATCCATTGCAAATTAATGTCCCTCGAAAAAATTAGGCATAAAAGGAATCTTTCTCAAGCGCATTTATTGATTGTACCACATGCAGTGCCTTGAAATCCTGGAACATGGGCTGCAGCGTCCTCTAAGCAGTACCGCTCAATCTCTCGTCTTGCAATCACTGCGGGGACCTCCGCGGTTAAGTTCTTATTGTCGGCCCTTCATCATATTACATCGGAATATTTTCCTTACCTTCCATGAAAATGTACTACTAGTAATAAGTCGTTTAAACCATTCTTTATTTACTTTTTCTAACCATTATTCATTTACTATTATTCATCCATTTATCTATTTAGTTTTGGTATTTACCCGATTAGATCAGTAAATATAGTTTGACAATAGTATTAATAGAAAGATCCTCATTGACACAGGGATAACAAACGTCGAGTGAGGAAAACGCAGAGCGTCATCGAGACCCCACCATTGGTCATAATTGGATCAAAAAATAAAGTACACTGCACTGCAATTCATAGCATGAAATGTTTCAACGCATTTAAGTTTTAATCTTTAGCAACAAAATCTCGAAGACACAGTCCGGCAGCACTGATTAGAAATTATTAGGTGCTACACATCCTCACTGATATCCTTCTCGGCTGACCATACTTGTGCTTTCTTCTGCACTGATGCACACTCCATTTGAAGGTTTTGGACGTTCTTCTCGAAACTCCTAAATAAGAAATAGATTTGGAGCATTATTATAATTGTAAAACTTTTCATCCAAAACTTGAGAACTACCAGTAATTAGTGTCTAGCTTCACTGAAATATCGCGTGATTTGTTGGAACAGCATTTAATTTTATAATATATCAAGTGTCAAAGTTCACTTTTCCTAGTATCTTATTGGTCGAGAGTGTACCACGTGAAAGTCACAAAATTTTACTGTTTCCCGGCAACTGTCCACCACAAGCGGTCAATAATTCTCGACTTTCACGTGACGTCATCAGTCGAAACAAAATTCTAAAATCACAGACACACAACATTGTGGTAATGAAATATCTTGAAGAGCATGATAGAAGTTCGCTCTGAATGTTTAAACTTTTTTTGCTGTTTATTCGTTGAGTTATTAGCGTTCAAAGATATGTTACGTAATACTGCCACGCGACTTGATACACGCCAAAAATACTCGAAAAGTCTATGAATCTTAAAACAATTATAGTCTCAGCATCAATTTAAATGTTTACAATGATATAGTTTGTAAAGTTAAAGCAAAATCATTAGTTTTGAGCTCAATTCGATGCTCG